AATTACAACGTGTGAAATGCGATGCCTTAGAAAAGCAGTAAACAAGACCAGGCGAGACACAGTAATCCGAGAAATGGTAGTCACGAATTATGTCATGCTTCACATCCTACACCAAAGAATCAAATGGTTCGGGCATCTCATGCGATTACCAACACACCATCCAGCACAGCGTGCCTACATAAAAAAAAATGTGATGGCAACAAGGCGAGAGGGCGACCGAGAAAGACCTGGATAGATGGGAGTCATGGAAACACTAACAACTCACGGCATCCCCCTGACCCAAGCTCTCCGGCTGGTGATAGAGAGACGTCTCTTTCTTCCCGCAAAACCCAAAAGGATACAAGTGGCGGATAAAAGTAAAAGTACTCTTTTGTAACACCTCTAATCCTCGGCATTTATATGACCTTGTTATGTTGCAAGTGCCGTAAAACACTTACTGAAACAAAAAACAAAACAAAAAAGCTGAACTTGTGGTTTTTTGTGGTTGTTAAATAAGCTGTGAGTGTCTGGGTATTGTTTGTTCTGTTTGTGACTGAGCTTGAACGGCTACTAAAATTTAAAAATAGTCTGTGGGTGGTTGGCGGGTTTTCTGGTGTGGTTTGCTCCTTTTTTCTTCTAAATTAATATCGATCGTCCTTATCGCTCCTCCCTTTATAATTTTTTTTTTTTTTTTTTTTTTTTGGGGGGGGGGGGGGGGGGTGATTGGAGGGCGCCTCTGTTGTTTCTGTCCGTCTGTCTTACTTCCCCCCAGCACTAAACGGCCATTATTGTGTCGATGTGCTTCTCTTTACTCTAAGAAAAAAAATGTATTCTGTTGTTGCTTGTTGCCCTCTTGTACTTGTAACAACTCTGCCGGGTGGTTGGTGGGCGTCACTGGTTGGTCCTCTTTCCTTACCTTCCCTCACCCCCCGGGGTGGTGCTACTGACTGAACTGTCTTTTGGCCATTCTCAAAGGGGGGACATTAACATGTTCTTATGCACAGTTGAATTGTAATTGTAAATGGGCTGGTTCATCAATGTCATGATCACAACTTTGTCTGAACGGCAACAGAGAACTGTTGCTTTTTTTTTCCTAATCCTTACCTAGCATCTGCGTTTGTTGCCATTCTTTTGTCCAAAAGTTGCCACAAAATGGCAAAAGTTGCCCAAAAAGTTGCCATTAATTTTCACGCTTTCTACTCTCCTCTGCGTCATAATAATATAGCAATATGTTGATAGAGGTAACTTAATCTAAAATACTAAAATTTCTTGTGCTCTGTTTTAAGCATCCAGAATATCATTTGTAGCCACACAGAGTGTAAAAACGTGAAAAATAAAGGTTTCACAACAGAATGAAATCAAAATTAGAACAGCAAATCAATAAACAAGCACTAAAATTAGCAAATAAGGGCGTGTGTCAACCCATCCGTAGATTGACCGTTTTAACCCTAAATGCGTGTAATTCAAGAAAAAGTACAGGGTATAACATGTAAATTATGGAATCACACACAAGGGGCCTGCCAGTGTCAGTATTCGGTTTTGGTGGAGACACGCTCGAACATGTTATTAACACATTTTAATTTTAAAAAAGGTAGGAATAACATTAATTATACTATATATTGTATATAGATCTATACCCCAGAAAAATAGAAAAACAACACATCAGAACAAAAGCGAGAAGAAAAAAAATAACACACCAACAAATTAAAACGCATCAAAGAAGGAAACATGAAAGAGAAACTGCAAAATAGTATGTAATGTAGCCTACTTATATTCTTTTACATGAAAATTACAAATCGACGGTAGTGTTAACAAGTGAGAAAGAGACCAAGTGAAGCGAAGGTGAAAATATACTTTCTTTCTAAAAGTAAAGAGGGTTTTTTGTTGTTGTTTTTTTGCGCGAATGTTATTCCCCATTTTTGTTATTGTTGTTGTTTTGTTGTTGTTTTAAAATTATTTTTTTCTTCCCGGCGGTGGTTTTTTGTTGGAAAAATACAAAAATCGCGGCCGCAACAAACGCAGATGCTAGCCTTATTATTGTCAATTTCCCTCTACTTCTTTTGCATGTTTGAATTGTTTGTCACACTCTTGCGACCCGCTATTCCGAGCGCCGTAAAACCTTACTAAACCAAAAAAATTACCTTCCCTCAGTTATTTCTGTCTGTCTTACTTTTCCCCAGCAATAAATTACCTTTATCGTGTTGACGAGCTTCTCTTTACCCAAACAAGCAAACATAAAATCTCAAATCTTCGGCACTTGTATGACATAGTTGTGTTGCAAGTGCCGTAAAACTCTTACTTGGGGCTCTCGTGGCCTAGAGGTTAAGGTGTTCGCCCCTCTTTCAATAGGTCCAATATTCGAATCCGGATAGCGACGGAAATTTTTCTTCTCAAAGATTGTCTCCTTTCATCTCTTTTCCTGCTCTCCAGCACTGTTCTGTCGTCTGCTTTTGTCTCTACTTTCTGCCCCCACCCCCTCATCTCCTTTGCCCCCTCCTCTAGGCTCCTGACTCTTTCTGCAGCCTTTCTAATGTAACTCCTTGGGTCCTTCTTACTGCTGTCTTTCAGCAACACCCCTGATCTTAAGGTAGGAAAGATCTACTCCTAGCCTTCTCGGAAAAGGGCGAAAAATCTCGGAGGTCCTGTGGGCAAGTTGTGCTCGTTAAAGATCCCTTGGTGGTCCAAAATCGATAAGAATAGGCTTCGGCCGCCTCCAGTGCAAAATTCAACATTTCCTACCAAATGAAAAATGTTTAATGTGTGTCCCGCACACTCAATAACCGTATTATACATATGCAGTTGCGAGCGCCATAAAACACTTACTAAAAAAACGGCAGGTCTTTTCTACGGTTGAGTACGCGGGTAGTTATAGTGCGTGTGCTGTTTTAAGAACAGCACGATTATGCACAATTGAATTTTTATTTACAACTGGCTCAACCAGAACCTCAACCGTCGTCATTTTCTGGACATTTTTTTTCTACTCTGCCAAGAAGATATTACACCACACAGCTTTGAATTGATTGCCTCCGCGCCGCAGGTGAAATGTCTTGTTTGTTCAAGCGTGTTGTTTCGGTTGGCATACAGTACAGTATATATACGATGTGTACTTTTAAAATACTCCCTTCCTACACACTTTGCTCGTGCTGCATTTGGAAGTGTTCACAAGACAAGTGTGGTAACATAAAAGAGTGTAGGCCTACGGTAGATCTAACCATAGAGTTACCCCCTTTTAAACTAGAGTCCGTACGAGGTTATGTGACACGGACACATTTGAGTTTGTTGGCGGCCATTTTTAATGTGGCTAAAAAGTTTGTTTACACGTGAGTGGGCGTGTCTCTGCTCTTAGTCTTGCGTGTTTTATTTGATTCTAACGTTATGTTTTGATTCAAAGCGATTCTCTTAAAGGTGCAAGCATGTGAAACCTCTTGTCCCTTTCTGGATTAACGTCTTACTGGTTCTGTCAGGCAGTTCAGTGATGTCTGTTTTCTTTAATTACATCATCTATTTTTAGTGCATAATATGTCTTATAGACACAAATAGTCACTCCGGGTTTCTTTTTTAAAACATAAAGAGCCATCAGTAAGGTTCTGGGCCATGTGAAGTTAAGGTTGACTAGCAGCTAGATCTTTTTCACAATGGGCAGGAAATGTCTTTATTAAACTGAAACAGTGTACTTTTTATTGTTTTGTTTTATTGAATGTTGTCCAAAAACACCTTAGTAAAGGTTTTTGTTTCAGTTATCACTACACTGAATAGAAAAACAATTGAATAGGCTACAAAACAACATTTAAGTTCACTTTTTTGTCTTTAGTGAGTCCAGAGTTGTCACAGTTGTTTTACTAATTAGATTTACTTAAAACAGCAATAGAAGGAGCTTTAGTTTAAGTGCTGTTTATGGTCTACTTTAGTTCTTAAAATCAATATAAACCAAAGTTTAATACCGATATAAGAAAACACTACTTATAATTTAGTATACTTTTTAAAAAAGTGAACATATGAATGAAAAGTAAAGTTTCCTGTTCAAATGTCACAAGGGAAAGTTTAACTCGATTTTAAAAATACCAGTACATGTATTCATCATTTGTTTGACTGAATTTGCTTTATCAAGAGCTTTATTGCATTCCTACACCTAAAGGCTGAAAAACTCTGGATTTTTTTTCCTATGGCTCATCCTGATTTAATTTAATGCGAAACTCATATATCTGAGGGGGGGCCCGGGGGGGGGGGGGGTTGGTATTGGGATTCGGAAGGAGAGAGAGGGTACGGTGGTTAAGGGAGGTTCCCATGACACCCACATCTTTTCATACTTCTTTTTAAAAGTTCTATAGGCCCTATACGCTTAGATTCGGTCAATAAGAAATAAACCACCTCATAGATAAAGTGCTGATGAAGAAATAAAGGTTGTTTTTTTTCCTTCTTTTTTTTAAAGCCCATGTCTCTATCTCTATCTATTTAATAATACATATTTTATTTACATATCTAGTTGTAGAAATAACGCCGTATTGTTGCAATTTAGTCATTTAGATATAGATCTAGTACGCCACGGCGCCCATGTAAAAAAAAAAAAATCAACAAGAACCAAGCCTCGCCTGTCGCGTATGAGAGAGAGAGAGAGAAAAAACATGCCTAGCCCATTGCTTTAGCATGAACTCCTTCACACAACTTGCCACAAAAAACATGGCGGACGCCGCTGTCAAATGTGGCCATCGCGCAGCAAGGCGAGAGAGGGGCGTACTGTATCTAGTTCTATAGTGTACATCTATGGATCTAACTTACGAGTCTCCAAACGAGCTATTCATGCTGGCTGTGTGTGCTTCGACATACTAATATTACAACATTTGAAGAGCACGGTGAACAAACGACGGTAGTCACAAGCTGGAAATTGTGAGGGTGCCAATTTCAAAAGCTTGTGGACTCATAGATCTAACTTCATATTTATTTGGCTGGTGGTTTATTGTTAAGTGTTGTTGAATGGGAAATCTAACAACAATAATCAACGAACAGTTGAACAGAAATACAGCTATGAGTCAACAAGCGTTCAAGATTGGTACCCTCTCGATTTTCAGTTTGTGACTACCGTCGTTTTTCCCCTGAAGTCTTCATTTATTATTGAGCTACAATATCTTTGTTTGCCCCTGACTTCTACCCCTAGATCTAGATCAACAGAGGAAGACCAAGACGACAGCGTAAAGGATAAAAAGGACTTGACATGACGGACGCTGGTTCTGAATCACTGCACAGCCACCGGGTAGGTTCATACAGTAGAACTTTAAAAAGTACGTTTTTAAAATATATTATTGCTTAGGCCTAATGAGAATAATAATAATAATAACAACAACAACAACAACAACATCAACAGCAACAACAAAAATAGTATAAATGTAATAATGATAATAACAAATTTAGCAGCAGCAACATCAGCAACAACAACAACATCAACAACAATAGCAACAACAATAATAGTATTTATGTAATTTATAATAATGTCAACAGTAATAATGATGATAATAATAATAATAATAGTAATAATAATAATAATTATAATAATAATAATAATAATAATAATAATAATAATAATAATAATAATAATAAATAATGATAATAGGCTAATAATAGTAATAATGATAATAGAAATAATAATAATACAAGTTGTAATAATGGTGATGATTATGATCACGATGGTAATAATAACAATTGTTAATGATAATAAAGATCCCTTCTATAAAATTGCGCCCACCCCATGGTGGCTCCAGACGCTCCACATAATAAGATTTTATTATAATTAATCAGTGTTTCATGTATGCTGGCGTGGGTGGTTGGCGGGTGCTCTGGTGTGGTTTGCTTCTTCTTTCCTATCAAACGTCTATCGACCTTATCGCCCCTCCTTCTTTTTTGTGTTTGTGTTTGTTTCTCTTTTGTAACACCTCTAATCTTCAGCACTTATATGACCTTATTGTGTGGTAAGTGCTGTAAAACTCTTACTGAAACTAAAACATCTGAGGTGAGCTGACAACATGAGTTACTTCTCGCAGTCCACAAATGGAGATATTAGCCATAAAATGGACTTCAGGATCAAATTTGTAGATTTTCTATTGATGCCATTTTCTTTAACTATAACCTGTCTTTTATTATTTCAAACTTATAAGATGTAAAAACTTCACCTATAAACGTGGTGTATCTATTTCCTTATTTAGGCTTTAATCCGAGAAGTAACTAATTTTGTCAGCACACTTCACACATGTTTACTGACCCTTTCAACGTAATGATTATTTCGCAGAAATTTGTCCGCTATACAATATTAACTTTTTTAAAGTTTTAAAACGTCAGGTCGTGTGCGTTTCCTGTTGTGTCGCCATGCCCATTCTGACGAAGATCTGTTCCTATCTTAAGCGGTTCGATAGAAAAAAATGGTATAACTTATAGATCTCATCATCATTGTCTTTCTCGCCCTGCACCAGGGTATAGGCCACAGACAAACACCTTCCACCTTTCTCTATTCTGGGCTAGCCTCTTGATGTTATTCCAGGTCTTCCCACTTTTCTGTACATCAGTTTCTGGTATAGGTCTAGTGCGGTCAAAAACTCGTGACGTATCTTATCCTCAAATATCTCTTTAACGGGTGAATTAGTGTCACCAATGATTTGAAAAGCACTTTGTATATATTAAGCTTGTCTTTTTTTTCCACAATAATTCAGGCGGGAACTCTCGTGGCCTAGAGGTTAAGGTGTTCACCTCTCATTCAAAGGTCCCAGGTTCGAATCTGGGTAGCGTCCGAAACATTTTCTCCTCTAAACTTGTCTCCTTCACCCCCTTTCCTGCTCTCTAGCAATATTCTGTCATCTGCTTTCGTCTCCTCTTTCTGCCCCCTCCCCCTCCCCTCCTTTGCCCCCCTCCTCTGGGCTCCCGACTCTTTCTGCAGCCTTTCTACTGCTACTCCTTGGCTCCTTCTTACTGCTGTCTTTCAGCCACACCCTTGATCTTCTGGTGGGAAAGATCTACACCTAGCTTTCTCGAACAAGGATGAAAAATCTCGTAGGTCCCGTGTGCAAGTTGCGCACGTTAAAGACCCCTTAGTGGTCTGAAATCGACAAGAGTAGGCTTCGGCCGCCACCCGGGCAAAATTCCAAATTTTCTACCGACTGAAAAAGTTTAATATGTCTTGCGCGCTCATATGACCTTATGAAGCGCCGTACAATAATAACTAAAACAAAAAACAAAAAACAAAAACAAAAAACAAAACACATAACAAAAAAAGAAGAAAAAAACAAACAATTCATGCTAGATTAAAAATCCTTTCCTCATAGATTTATACAGTTTACTCTAAATCTCCGTCCAGGGGAAAATGGGGTTGTTCACAGCAGTGCTGCACTTCCTGCTTCTCACACACATTTTGCATACACGCATATTATGGCTTACATCACAGCGAACCATTGACACTGTTTTGTGACAAAACTTGTTTCAAGAAATCAATTTTACCGTGAACACATTTTTTGCACTAAAATTGCACATCAGCTGACAAAAAGAAATTTATTTTACCATCTATGAAACTTGAAGCAATGTGTGAAAGGGCATTTGAATACCAAGGCCCCAAGATCTGGAATGCTTTACCAAGTACTTTAAAAGAGATCAAATCTTTTGATTCATTCTAATGTCAGCTGAAGTCGTTTCGGTTTTTAAATGAATAAGATGAATATTTGGAGTGATTTTCTTTTAGTCAGAGCACAACGTTTTATGTTACTGTTGTACGTTGTACTGTATTGTAAAGCGCTCAGAGCCTGTGTACTTTAATCGGGGTTGAGCGCTATATAAATGTTATTTATTATTATTATGGGCGAAAGCCCACGCTCGTAGTAGGAAAATTAAATTTCGCACCCTGCTCGATTGCAAAGTATGACATCGCTTACTACTTACAACTTTGCTCGCTGCTTGCTTTCATTTGTTACTATTTCCCTTTGGAACTGTCGAGGTTAAAGTAAAGTCCAAGCTGTCTCCAGAAATATTACACATATGTCGATGGAGGCGTAAAACATTGAGTTTGGGAATTCGGGTGATTCTTTCGGGTCTATTGTCTTGCTTTCTTGTCCATCTCTTTCTCGTTCAATTCTCTCTCTCCCCCCTCTCTCTCTCTCTCTCTCTCTCTCTCTCTCTC